CACACACACACACACACACACACACACACACACACACACCAGATGTCAAACTGTCCTTGCGAAGTCATTTGTACCGTTACCACCTGTTGAATATTTTCTTCAAATTCTGTCTTCAAAGACTCTCAATTTCCCGTTACAGCAATCACAATTTCTCCAGTGGAAACATTTACAAATACCCTTAGTTAAAGAATTTTGTATTCTCTCTTGATTCTCTATAAGGTAATCAATTATCACGACTGACAGACTGATAGACAGAAAGATAGGCAGACACACACATACTCAAAAACATATATCCGATCCAGTATCAGACCGATACAGATACATAATATCGGATCGGTCCATCCCTAATTAGCATTTAGTTCTTCCTATGCCATGCGGCGCATTGAGTAGCTAACGATCTCCATCGATGTTGGTCAGCAACTGCTTCAGCTTCGTCCCAGGCAATGTTGACGGTTCTCAGATCATCCATAAACATTTGACGGCATGTGATCCTTGGCTGTCCTTGCTTTCGCTTGCCAGTGCATGGGAGCCATGCAATGGGGATCTTGGCCGGGCAATAAGGGGATAGATGTAAAATATGGCCTGCAAAGCGGAAGCGCCTGTGACAGGGGATTTCTAGGAATCGCCCCACAGTTCTTCAGCTGAGACAACTGAGTTAGAAAACACAAACGCTGCAGTTGATTTACTTGCAAGGGCAGCCACAGAGCAGCCTGTCTGCAACAACTTCGGCTAAAGGGTGGGTGCTTGCTCTTTGCAAGAACTCTTCATTTGTTATTCGGTCCCAGTAGGAAATTCTCAGGATTCGCTGCAGGCCGCGTTGTGGAAGCACATTACATTCCAGTAATTGCATTTGTTGAGCTTCACCTCTTTTTAAAAAATGGAAAAATAATTACTATGAAATATTGAGAAATAAGGGAAGTACTCATGAACAATGTTAGCAAATTGTATATAAAGTATCAAAAATTTGACTATTTATTCTGCAGAATTATCATGTTTGCTGTATGGCAGGAAAGCGATTTCACCCAAATGCAAGACTCGCAGGACACAGAGGGATGAACTAAAAGAGGCAGCTTTTTCTGTTCTGTCCAAAACTTGAATACAGGAAAACAGGAAACCAGAAACTAAGCGTTATAACTAAAAGCTAGCAAACTGGAAAACAAGAAACAAAAAACAAGAAACTAGGAGCTAAGGGAATACGGAGGAGACATACAGCACTGAGGAGGTTTGATGGTTCATGACAACAAGCACATGAAGACTGAGGACTAATATACACAGATGGGCTAATGAGAGGATGGGGAACAGGAGGAACACCGCTGGGACTAATCACACACAATGAGACAGGGGAAAAGCAAAACTTGAGGAACATGAGGAATACAAGAAAGGCAAAGTAACAGAAACCAAAATCTCAGAACTAAAGATACAACAAAAGTAGAACCACAACCTTTGAATACCAGTAATCAAATAATATGACTAAAACGCAAAAAACACTGGGTCACAGACCCAGTACTGTGACAAGAACAATGTTCCTCATCAGTGTTATATGGATCAGTATTACTGTTACAGCTGTTTAAAGTTGAGTTTGTCTAGGGGTTTTTTGTTGAATCTACATCCATCATTTTGATGAAGGTGGTGTGTTAGCAAAACAACCAGTATAACTTACTACATTAGGTCAATCATGTGATATTGGTGGAGCCTGCACCTTTTCAACTTGCCTGTTTTATTAATTACCATTAGCCTCTCCATGATTAAAGGTTTATTACAAATGTTCTAAACAGCTTTTAAAAGTTTCATACGTTACACATGTTGTCCAAGGTGGTTATTAAGAGGAAACTTGTAGTTTATAATTCAGAATCATAGAGGTCATGCATGTTAGTTCTATAGTTCCACAAATGTGCACATTGTAACTGGTCTCAGATCAGTGAAAGAACAGCCAGCGGCAGCTAATCTGCCATCTGTCTCCTGTCAAAAATGAGAGATTTATCCGCAATGTGCATATTCAAACAACAAGCCACAAGGTTTCTCAGCTTGACAAGCTCCAGCCATTGTTAATGGGACATAGACACACCCATTAGTAGGGATGGGTACCTGATGCCATGATGGCACCGGTTCTGACATAAACGGTAGTAACCAGACCGAAAAGCAGCGCACATTTCGGTGCTTTTTTTCCTGAGCTGTGACACACTT